ATATATCTTTCCCCATACACAATACACACCACAAAAATACATGTTCTCAGACTATACAGGTAGGATAAACAAATTAAATTATACATTATCTTTCATGTCTGAAAGTAACTCAGGTGAAAGACTGTTATTGTGTCTGACTGGCATATTATTGTAATTCTGCCAGGGATTCATTCATTCTAAACATGAATGTACAAGTTCAGCTAACAGCTCAATTAAAATAAAAACCAACCATACCGCTTTAACTCCACAAATCACCGTAGTATTTCCTAACTTCACCAGGGCAGAACCATCTGCAGTTGTAATTGAACCTGAAGAGAGAAAGTGCTGTTCAGTAAAATCTATTTTTCCATTCAAAGGGCCTTACGTAACAAACACCTTCACAAAGTGTTTACTTTCCATCATTTTATACTAAACACGGGATAAGCCAAGTCTCGATGAATCCAGGGTGGGCAGAGAATTTCTCTATTAAATATCTCTATTAAACAGTCAATCACACAGAATCACGCAGAATGGTTGAGGCTGCAAGGGACCACTGGAAATAGGTCATCTGGTCCCACTCCCTTGCTCGAGCCGGGCCACCTAGAGCCAGCTGCTCAGGACCGTCTCCAGACAGCTTTTGAATACCTCGAAGGATGGAGACTCCACAACTTCTCTGGGCAACCTGTGCCAGTGCTTGGTCACCCTCACAGTAAAATGTGTTTCCTCAAGTTCACAGGCAACCTCCTGTGTTTCAGTTTGTGCCCACTGCCTCGTGTCCTGTCACTGGGCACCACTGAATAAAGCCTGGCTCTGTCTTCTTTACACCCTCCCTTAAGGTATTTATATACATGGATAAGATCCCCCCTCAGGCTTCTCTTCTCTAGACTGAACAGTCCCAGGTCTCTCAGCCTTTCCTCATAGGAGAGATGCTCCAGTCCCATCATCTTCATGGCCCTTTGTTGAACTCTCTCTAGTATGCCTACGTCTCTCTTGTACTGGGGAGCCCTGCGCTGGACACAGCACTCCACGTGTGGCCTCACCAGTACTGAATAAACAAGAAGGATCACCTCCCTCAACCTGCTGGCAATGCTTTGCCTAATGCATCCCAGGATAACATTGGCCGCCTTTGCAACAAGAGCACATTGCTGGCTCATGTTCAACCTTGTGTCCACCAGGACTCCCTGGTCCTTTTCTCTCAAGCTGCTTTCCAGCTGGGTGGCTCACAGCATATATTGGTGTCCACGGTTGTTCCTCCCCAGGTGCAAGACTTCATGCTTCTCTTTGTTGAATTTGATGAGGTTCCTGTTGGCTCATTTTTCCAGCCTGTTGAGGCCCCTCTCGAGAGCAGGACAACCCTTTGGCATTATCAGCCACTCCTCCCAGTTTGGTGTTGTCTGCAAACTTGCTGAGGGTACACTTTGCCCCATCATCCAGATCATTAATGAAGATGTGGAACAGGATTGGACCCAGTATTGATCCCTGTCATAATTTTTTAAACCAGAAATCATAGATGGTTACTGTAAACCCATAGTCTGGCTGACTTACCGCCAAGACCTAATGGAAGAGACCTGCAAGGTCAAGTTTAAGCAGTAATCAGCAACTATTCCACGCTGGTAGGCTAACCAGTATTTTAATTCTAGAAATTACGAGGTGTAAGAAAGGCAGGTAAGGTGCTGCTGCGCAATGCATAAGAGGTATGTTGCCTCTGCTTGAGACACTTGCTCATCAAGCTTAGAACAAAGCAGAAGTCAGGAGTCACTGCCTCTTTCAATGCATAAGAGGCTTTTTTTTTTTTTTTGCGCTGGTCAGGATATGCCTACACACTGCCTTCAGCACCTATAACATATGCTGCTGATCTCAGAAAGAGATAAACTTCCATGACCACCTAAATTGTGCTGTGCATACCAGTCCAGGAGCAGAACTGGATAACAATGCTCAAATATATTACTGCACCATTCATTCTCTTTAATGCTTGTTGAAACTAGAAATAAAAATCCTTCCTCTTTCTTGTTTTAAAATGTAAGAACCAAGAAAACTGATTAGCAAGTCATTAAGGTCACTATTATAATCTGAGATTAATAATACCTCCCCCATTATTATTATTCCAATTAAGCACTTGCCTATGTTGACAGTAGTTGCCCGGAATTCACCCAACTCCCTTCCATCGGGTCGACAGTTCTCTTTCTAAACAAAAATTGCAAAGTTCCAATTAGAAAACATATTTTATTAAATAACACACTAACATTTATGCCATGGGAGTTCATATAAAATATTATTCTCTTCTTTTTAGCAGAAATATGCAGCTACAAAAATGCTGCGGAAAACTCAATCACATTCTAGCCAGTTTTTCATTAAATGATATGTAGTTTGTGGTTGTAGGCCCACAAAAAAACCCTGTATTTTTAATTTATTGTAATTTATTTAGAAAATAAATATAACAATACATCAGTTGTCTCAAGAGTAAGTAATACAGGCTAGATTCAGAATATCATCCAAGAATGAATACTTACTGATACCTTAAAATGAGAGTTTCTACCTGCCTGCATTGTTTAGATCGTGTAAGCAATTCCCCTCCCCCATCCCCACCTAGTGGAGCTCTTAAAATTAACGGTAGAGTGAACTAAAGAACATGGAAAAAATAAGAAATAAACACAGCACCCACCCCCTCAAAAAAAAAACCACCCAACATTCAAATACTGTCAGTCAGAAGCTGTACAACACCTGAACCTTATGTTAGAAATTGTACCAATTCACCATCACGTTAGATGTGAATTAGTACTCATCACAATTTCAAGCTTCTCAAAAGCAAATACTTTTGGTTCAGTTATGAGAACTAAAACTGACTGTAATAATACTGGACCCACTGCTAAGTCGATAGTACCTTAGTAATGGATAGACTAATTTAATATACCACGAAGTCAGCGGTTGTCCATCACAGTTACAGTGAGCATGGTTAGCAGCAATATTCTCTATTATTTATATTTAGTAGCATCTGAAAGTCTGTTCTCACATAATTTTGTACTAGACACAAACCTGCATCACCACCTTGGTCAAATTTAACTCGCATTCCTTTCGAGGCCAACAGAAGCCTTTATTGACCCATCAAGTTGAACTGGGACACAACCTCCTGCAGCATCAATGCCACAGACAGATAGAAAAACACGTTCTGAAGAGCATGACCACTTTTCCCCTGCTCAGTGAGTTTTTTGTTTTTCCCTTATAGTTTCAGCTTTCCACACAGACAAATTAGAAAAGCAGAAGCAAGAAAAAAATTAATTACAAGAAATTTATACATGTATATCGTGTTTTACTCACCAAAAATCTTCTGTAATATTCCAATGGTTCCACTGTTCTAAAACAAATAGAAATAGAAGTTCACATCCAGGCTCCCAAGCAGCTAAGAGATAGCAAAAAACATAAGCAGACCTACAACAACAAATAATTTGAGAATCAGGATGACCAGCACAGCTGCTTAGCAATATGGTTATAGATAGATGAGGAAACTCTAAACTGATTTAAGAAAAAGATGTTTTTCTATGTTCACTTCCAAAATGCTTCTTCCTTACAAGGAACCTGCCTGCACACACACCTAACAAAAACTGCTAGCGTTCACCTCAATCTTTAGTATCAGTTTTAATTCAAAAGGAATGTTTATTGAGACAGGCATGTAGAATGTTTCTGAAGAAATGCAGAAAGGGTAATTTTATTAGTGTCTGAAATATCTATTAGTTCAGGGGCTGCATTCAGATGTACAAAATGGTTTAAAACAATTTTGCAGTCTTGAAATGTTACTTTTTCTTAGAATCTTTAAGAATATAAAATTAAGAAATATGCTTCATGCAGTGCTTCAGTTGAGAAATAATTAATGTTTATTATTAATTATATACTACTAACATTTGTGTATTAGTATTTTAAGCAGAGAATATTAAAGTAAAAAAACCTCATAAAAGTGTCATTAGTATTTGAACAAAGCCTCAGTTTTGTTACAATAAGCATTTTTGGGGGGGAAAGAAAAAAAGGATAACTGCAAAAGGCAATCTTTCCTAAATGCAAACTAACATATAGAGGCATCACAATTCATGACAGCAAGCATGAATTAACCCCTGTTGGTTCCCCATATGTGGCCTCTTCTCTTCCAACTCATATAAGAGCACTTGCTAAATCTTGATTTAAGCTGTAAATCTGGAGGAAGGAAGGACACTGGAACAGGTTGCCCAGGGAAGCTATGGATACCATTGGAAGTGTTGCAGGGCAGGCTGGACAGGGCTCTGTGCGACCTGATCAAGCAAAAGACGTCCCTGCCCATGGCAGGGGGAGTTGGACTAGGTTATATTGGAAGGTCCCTTTCAACCCAAACCATTCCATTATTCTAAAAGGAGCAATTATAAATGGGAAGCCACTGAATTCCCTATTGTTTTAAGCTCCTTGTATTGCTTCACTACACTCGTTCTGCCTGTACCTCTTCCCTTCGGCAGAGAAGGCTACCCTCCTCTACTTCCAATGTCCCAGGAACCATGGGACACTTCAGGCTCACAGGGCCTCTGGAGTGTGTTAGGTCCAACCCCTCACCCAAACCAGGTCCACACAGAGCAGACAGATCACTCAGGACCTTGTCCAACTGCACTGACTGTCTCTGAGGATAGTTACACCACAACCTCCCCGGCTGACCACCCTTCACTGTGACTCCCCACCTCCAGGATTTATTCAGAATCATGTTTCAACCTGCATCCATGGTCTCTCTCTTCTGTCTTCTCCACACCCTATTATATAATTTTAGAATTGTCTAGGTTGGAAGGAACCTTCAAGATCATCAAGACCAACCATCAACCTAACATTGCCAGAACCACCACTGAACCATGACTCTTAACACCATGTCAACCAGCCTTTTAAATACCTCCAGGGATGGCGACTCCACCACTTGCCTGGGCAGCATATTCCAATGTTTAACAACCCTTTCTGTGAAGAAGTTTTTCCTAATATCCAATCTAAACCTACCCTGGAGTAACTTGAGGCCACTTCTTCTTGTCCTATTGCTTGTTACTATGGAGAAGAGACCGACCCCCACCTCACTACAACCTCCTTTCAGGTAGCTGTAGAGAGCGATAAGGTCTCCCCTCAGCCTACTCCAGGCTAAACAACCCCCATTCCCTCAGCTGCTCCTCATAAGACTTGTTCTCCAGACCTGTCACCAGCTTAGTTGCCCTTCTCTGGACACGCTCCAGCACTTCACTGTCTTCTTTGTAGCGAGGGGCCCAAAACACAGTACTCGAGGTGGGGCCTCACCAGTGCTGAATACAGGGGGACGATCACCTCCCCAGTCCTGCTCATTAGGTACCCCAAGGCCTCCCTGACCTCTGCTCTTGGTTGTACCTTTTTAAGCCCGAACAAACCCATCTCGCTCGGCCCCTCCTCGCAGCTTGCGGGGCTCCGGCCCCCTCAACACCCTGGCAGCTGCCCCCTGGACTGCGCCCACACCTTTCCCGCACCGGGATGCCCCAAAGCGGCAGATCTCAGGGCAGCGGAAAACAGCACCGTAAGGAAAATGATAACGGTTAAAGAGAACACACCGGAGCCCTCCCCCCCCGGCCGGGCCC